AATAAATAAAAAAGGAATGATACTATACTCAATTGAAATGATCTAGAAATAAGAAAATAGCACATAAATTAATTTGTTAGACAAATATGCATGTTAAGCTTATTACAAACGTATGAACACAATTTAAGATATTAATTAACTAAGCCAGCGGCGCTGGTGCCTTAAAACCAAGAGCGAAGTGGCAGCGTGTCTACAGCTGATTTTAGTTACTTTAATTTAAAATAATTTTTAATTCGTATTCCTTGTAATTTTCCCCTTTACTCGTCCTGCCTATTCTGAACATTAGACCCTGGCATTTTTTACCTTTTAACTCATTCAGATAGTAAACGTCCTGAAAAATAAATAAATAAACAAACTTTTTTTTTTTGCATTTATTTAATTTCATATTAAAAGAAGGAATTATAAACGTATTTAAATGGACATTTAGCAGTTTCGGTTTTATTTACATGCTTATTAAACCAGAGAAAACATCGACAATGATAACGAATCAAATAAGACGTACTATAAACTGAATTTTCATTATTTACGAGCGGCCCACCAGCGGCCGAGCGGTAAAGACGCTGAACACTGGTAGTTCGGTCTGAGGTTCGAATCCCGCGAACGGGCTGGCTGCATGGGCGTTTTCGTGGTTTTCCCCATGTGTAACGTGTATACGAGCCAGTTTCCCTTAGAAAGTCCTCCACGAAAGGCACCCCTCCCTTTAGGCAGATAGCCCTCGTGTGCTTTGCCATAATTAAATACACCAACACCAACCAACCATTATTGACGAGCGAACACAATCATTGCATTTTCAGAAGCAACTATAATCTTTGATGTAAACATCCTATCTCACGAATGCATCTATAGACTATTCAGGAGAGAAAAAGTCAAAAGAAATAAAAAATCCTGAGGTATAAGAAGCCCTCGCGACAATGGAATAGCCAGAGCTTTCGCCGCCCAGACAGTCTTTGAGTTTGCGTGCTTTAGCAGTCTTTGTATTTGCTTACGTAAGCAAATAACTGATCATGTCAGATATCAGGGAAATATCAAATATCAGGAAAATAAATTAGAAGTTCTATCTTTATTTTTAAAGAAAAACTTTAAATTATACACTTTTTCCCCACAGAAAACTATCAAGGCTTTGTAGAGGTCTACTTGATTGCTTCATTTGTTGTTACGTAAACAGTGCAGAGAGATTTCTTAAATATAAAAATATACATTACTCGAGATTGCATTTTTGTATAAATTGCAAAAGTTCAAAAGGTTCATGGTTCATGGAAAACCATAAACCTGGTAAAGAAATGGCTGATGCCTTAGCTAAGAAGGTATTTTAATGACTCTGGCCACTGGCACTCAGCACTTTTTGAACATCTGCTCTAGAGAAAGAGGCATAATCTTCCTGACATATCTTCCGAAACATGACTGGTACTTTGACGAAGCTCCTAAGTGGACATCTGAGATGCCTTAAATTTGACCGGAGAAATAATATCTACCTTATCTGTAGGAACTGTAATAACTGATCATTTCTCTCATGAACATCATCTCACCTGTTTGGGAGTTGTAAAAGAGGACCTACCCTCATTTTGGATTTATTGACGGTTCTTTGGATTTATTGAAGGAATAAGCAGAGCTTAAATTGCGCCGGAGCCCTAAATATGAAGGCTCCGGCACTTCTTTTATGTAACTGAACGACAATTTTAGCAGAAATTTGATCTCGAAAATTTTCTTTTTTATAATAAAATTCTGTTAAAAAATCGCTTATTAAATTTTAGTTTTATCTCTCTACTTTTTATTATAATTATTTAATTACCTTAATCTTTAATTATTTAATTAAATAAAAATGAAATAATTTTTATTTAATTAAATAATAATTGATAAATGTTAAATAAGTAATCATAAATTAACTTGATAATTTTTAATTATTAATTATTTTAATAGTCATTTTATTTATTTATTTACTTTTGTTCCTCTTTACTGACGGTCTTCCGTAAGGCTCCGGCACTTCTAATTTTAGAAATTAAGCCCTGAGCATAAGTAGCAACAACAACAAGTTCAAAAGAACTGCGCTTCGACGTCTCTGTTTCATTTTTCCTTATAACGGAAATAAAATTCTGAAATATTTCTCTCTTAACGAGAAATTTTTCCTTATTAATAACACCGTGATGGTAATTTAGTTGAAATTCCTATCTTTCATTGGCGGGAGTTAGAATTCGAGGAAGTAAAATAAATATAACAAGATTACATAATTCTTGAAATCTCATAGTGTTTTCTTTTGAAGACTATATCTAGCAAAAAAAAAAAAAAAAAAATTCTTCACAAATTCAGATGACAATTCAAAGTCTTCTTATACTCCACCTGCCTGGACGATTCGCATAATTAACCCCTATAAAATAACGTTTTACGTGAAATGGGCTGCCTCCTGAAAAATGTGGCGCTCGGCGCGCGACACTCCGCTCTAGCTCTGTCATTGCACTATGATACCAATTCATGAAATCCATTGTGATTTACCCAACACACTCGCGAGTAGACGTATTCTGCTAAGAAAGCCTGCTATTCTGACAGTGAAGTTTAACGACATTCTAAAAATCAGAAATTTCCTTTTCCATTTGGGTACATAAAATGATTAAACAATTAAAAAGGTTCAAAATTTTGCTTAACTGAAGTCGGGTTAGTCATTTTGAACAATCTTGGAACCTGAATATTACTCACATCCACGCAAATGCCAGATGGTTATAGACTTTTTATTTATAAGTTTTCCTTCAATATGATGATGTCAAAATTTGATCCATTTAAACAGTGAAACATTTAATTTTAAGACACTATATCAATATTTAAGCAATAGAATGTGCCCCAGTTAAGATAGCTAGGAAATGCATGGGGCTTTTATGGTACGATTTGATATGGTCATTGTACATACTGGGCTAAAACCCTGATGCAAAATGCAAAAAGTCAAAAAAAAAAAAAAAAAAAAAAAAAAAAACTCAATTATGTCAGTTCAAGATGAATACGTACAAAAATAAACAAATGAGTAAAGATTGAAGAAATAAAATAAATAAAGTTGCTTACATTTTCCGACTCTGTGAACTTTCCCCCACTTATCTTCATGAGATGGAGGAGATACGTCAATTACGGTACACTATCTTTCCATACATAAAATAGACCAGATTACTTCGGTTGTTGTGTCTGACCTCGCTTGTCTGATATCAGAGCAAGCTCACGAGATTCATCCTGGTAAGGAGGCATGATTGCACCTGTCGTTGGGAAGAACCTTGGGCACCATACAGGAGACTGTACGATTTTGCTCAGTTTCGCCTCCAGTTCTAAAGGAGAGCACCCAGAGGAGACTGTTCCGAGTCTCTCACCCCCTTCCTCTACCACAAACCTCTCGAAAAGACTTTAGTCTCGTCGCATATTTTGAGTGCGCCCGTGCCACACAAACACTATACATTTACAAACATCCGTGCCTTTTTCGGGATTTGAATCCAGCCTTTGCGTACGGTAATCAGAATACTAGCCACTGTCCCGGTTAAGCGGCAGATTAGTCCTTAATACCAGGGCGATGAGAATACATAAACTAAAAGACTAGAAGTAGTGTAGTGTACTAAAGTACACACTGTATATGAATAAAACGATGATCTGAAAAATAACTGTTTATTAATTCAGTACTATCTAAAAAGAATACTTTTGTATTTTATTGGTGAAACATATTTCCTTATTTTACAGCAATAGTGAAATATAAATCTAAACTTTCACATTGAAATAAACATTGCTTTTATACTTGAAATTCATAAAACTAGTAAAATAGGTCTCTTATCTATGCCTCACTACGATAAATGAACACTATCCGAACAATAGTACATATGAGATCATAATATCTGTCAAATTCGCTAATTTATATGAATTTATAAATTCATATCATCATAAAGAAAGGATCGAATAGCAACGCATACTATTTTTACATACATATAAATTATAACTTTTCATTTTTGGAAGTATAGCCATCTGCTACATTACTCTTCTATTCTACAGGATACAAGCCCACCAGCGGCCGAGCGGTAAAACCACTGAACACTAATAGTTCGATCCGGGGTTCAAAGCCCTGCGAACGGGCTGGTTGCATGTGAATTTTCATGGTTTTCCCCGTGTGTAACATGTATACCAGGCACTTTCCCTTAGAAAGTCCTAGACGAAGGCATCCCTCCCCTTAGTCTGATAACCCTTGTTCTGCTTTTCCGTAATCAAACAAACCAAATGCTACAAACAAATGCGACGCTTCTTTTCTTTAGTTCCCTTTCCTTTGTCAGATTCACAGTAGATACCGGTCGGTAGTAGAATAGTCAGATTAATTGTCTGCCAATTCGTAGTTATTAGCCTGAAAAAGAAAAAAAAAATTAACGTACACTTCTTTTTAACATTCCCTTTTAGATATGCACATAGATTTAACAAGATGTATTTTTGAGAGAAAACTGAAAATTAAGAGCAGCAATTAAAAGTAAAAGGAAAATCTTGAACACTGAATTAAAAGCCTATATTTTCTGAGATTCTGCCACCCCTTTTTTATCTTGAAATTATGCATGTGATTTGGAGCAGGAACGTGCGATACAGTTTTTATTTTCTGTTCCGCTTTATCTCATTACCAAAGGCAAAAAGATCTATCTAATTTATGAATTAATTGGTGCGCCAATCATGGATCAACGCCTAGATTTCAATTAAACGACTCTATTTTCTTCTGTTAACTTTAAAACAGATACTAAATCTTTGGCTTTTGACTCAATGACTATTTGACCTCTTTTTTTTTTTAGATAAATTAAAGATAAAACTCGACGAGATAAAAATGACGGGCAGACTGATAAGCATTGTGGATATTTATCAAGGCAAATAATGAACGCTGTTATTATTCAGTGTTTATCTTTAAAGTGGTAGCGCTTACTCGTGTTCAGTAATGCTTAGTCACTGAAGGATCACCATGAATTACTGGATCGCATTACTCTGTGCTATTCTTATAATTTGGTTAATGTGAGTGCTTTATTCTTTCCAACATGAGTGTCTGGATCGCCTTGCTGTGTGTTATTGTGATACTTTGGTTAATGTAAGTATTTCATTCCCCCCCTTTTTTATCTATTTTTTTACAGGGTTCTCAAATACGTATCCCCAAAAAAAACGTTATTAAAATTTCAGACACTTTTTCTGCAGCCTTAGGGAACTGAAACTGTGATATCATTAAAACCGTATAAGCTACATAGAAATAGAACATAAAATTCCACAATATTTCTTGTAAAATAAATTTGATACATTGAAAATGTAAGCATAATCTGTAAATATATTTATATGAATTTAATTATTTACTGAGAATAATACAAATTCAAAAATAATAACAGATCTGCTTTTTGTTCTTTTTTAAATTTATATTCCAAATAATATACCTCCCGTTTTTTGCCTCCCGCACAAACAGTTATCATTATCTAAATGCCTTTACTGAACACATTGAAGCGCCCTTAGATATGGCAAGTAGGTATTATGAACATCCACTAAATGTCAATGTACTATATCAGATGATAGCTGATAGAGCGATAATAACTGTCCATAAGGTATGAAGATTTTGGAGTTCTTAATGGGTACCAAAATCAGCTACCGGCCACATCTACTTACGCAAATTCTGGACGCGCAATATACAGCTAATTTACTTTTTGCCTTTATATAGCGGTATAATGGCCGCCCAGCCGGTATAGTGGTTAGTGACCCTGACTAACTAGCGATGGGCTCGGTTTCGAATCCCGGAGAAGCCATGTTTGTAACTGTCCGTCCTTTCATTAGGCCCACCAGCGGCCGAGCGGTAAAGTCACTGAACACTGGTAGTTCGGTTCGAGGTTCGAATCCCGCGAACGAGCTGGCTGCATGGGTGTTTTCGTGGTTTTCCCCATGTGTAACGTGTATACGAGCCAGTTTCCCTTAGAAAGTCCTCCACAAAGGCATCCCTCCCCTTAAGCAGATAGCCCTCGTGTGCTTTGCCATAATTAAATACACCACCACACCACCACCACCGTCCTTTCATTAGGAGGCAACGGAGGCCACATATTAGGCGCCTCCACAATGAAATGGCCACCACTTACGGCTTTTGTAGTGGCGCAACGCTAATGGCTATTAAATAAAGCGTCCAGCCATTAAAAAAAGATTAAAAGAATAACGGTACAATTTGCAGATGTTTATAATGCATCTAAAATAGAGCCTTTTCTACGAAAATGACTTTAATGATGAAAACTTTAATGATGAAAGCAACCATTATGTTAAAAAAATTAATAACTCTTTTAAAACAAAATACGGGTTAGAGTTGACTTTAAGGTACCTCTAGTATTATCGCGAAGTTGTTGTTTCATTCATCGCCAAGTTCTTGTTTCGTTTATCGTCAAGTTGTATCATTTATAGTAAGCTGAGTAGTTGAATGTTATGGAAACCCTATTATGACGTAATCGCGTGCATTATTCCGGGAAATTTCGAATCATGGGATGTTTTGCAAAGGCTTTTGTGGTGTGTGTTGCTTGGAAGTAGATTGCTTGTTTCATTGTTTAGATGGTACATTGGCTGAATGTAGTAGAATTAATTTGAAGTTTCTGTACGAATTGGAACGAAAGGGGAAAAGTGCATTAATTGACTGGTGTGTAAATGAAGGTTTACTTAGTAGACATTTTCCGGACATTCCGGAACTAAGTTTTTGACTCTTATTTTTGTGAATTTATGTGGCGACGCCGATATGCGGATGTAGTTCAGATAATTTTAGGAAGTTTTTGGATGCTGTTAAGGAATTTTGTATGCCACAGAACGAAGATGAACGGATTTCTAAATAAGGTAAGTGGATATTTGCTTTGTGTGGTGCTAAAATACATAACAGGTTTTTCCTTTTTTATGTTATTTTATTGTTTGGGTAAAAATGTAGTTTATTGAGATTATGTATTTTTGTTTGCTTCTACTGTAGAATTGGGTGCTCCTTTGACTTTTTAAGTGAAAATATATCGATGAGTACATGAAAAAACTTAAGGGAGTGCGTAAGGTATAGTTTGTGCAATTTTCTGGTGTTTTTCTAAGTGAAAATACGTTGACGTGTACATGGATAAAGGGAGTTCAGAATACCATTTTTATGCAATTCTGGGATTTTTTTTTAAGTAAAAATAGGTCGATGTGTACATGGATACCGAATTTTTGCAATTTTTTGTCTTGTTATTTTGGCTTTTGTGTAGCGATTTTTGCCGGCAAAAATCGCCGCTACACAAAGTCAAAATAACAAGTCAAAGAATTGCACAAACTCGGTATCCATGTACCGTCAAAAATCGCCAAGTTACCTAAAACCCTAAAATACACTTTTACCAAAATACGCACTCTAACACAGTTTTAAAACTAAAGAATCAAACAGAAAATTTTAGAGATAATATTATAAAGGTATTTATTTATTTACATAAGGCGCGTTTTCATATAAAAAATGAGGAAACTGAATAAAATACTTGTGTTTATATTATGTGTCTATAAAATATTAAACACAAAGAAAATTAAGCTAACGTAGCCAATAGAATAACCAAACAACACCCAATATTTCAGGTTCATGAGAAACAAAAGTCATAAGTGATTGAAAATGCATAGGCAGACAGCTAAGAAAGTACATAAGGAGAACTCACTCCTAATAAGAAAAATTATAATTCATTGAAGTACAAAAAGGCAACTGCCTGATTAAGCTTTTCTTATGTGTCAGTTATTATTAAATTGATTAGTTATTATTAGTCAGTTTGATTATTAAAACAATTCAAAACCAAAAATATGATCAGGTTTCGAAATAAATAAGCAGCCATTCGAGTGAAATCAATTGTTATTAAAATAATTCATTTCACCAATAAAATTAATTGTTATTAAAATAATTAATTTCAACAATAAGTTACTTTATTTGTTAAAACAAAACAAGTTAAGGGTAAAAAAAATTGTGACGAAAAGTTTATTTATTTACCGAAGTGGAGCTAAAAAAAAGTGTAGTCTCAAAATATGTAAGGAAATAAAATGTATCAAAAAAGCCGATGCCAATGGCAATGTACGAGTAAAGAACATTGGAAAGCAAAACAAACTGACAGGTGAAGCACATGGCATGGGTCTTACCGAATTTCTTCCAACTTCTGGAGGACTTAGACAGCTTCTAGACAGCTTATCTAGATAAATTCTTCTAAACCAAGGGTCCCCAAACGTTTTTTGCTTGTGGACCCATGAGTCCTTCCTTCAAGTACGAGGACCCCAGTATACGCATACGTAATATACCTAAATGAAATATTTATTAGTAGGATACTAAAAGTTAATAATAAACAGTTCGAATGTAATATAAAAAATGCAAACTATAAATGCTGAAAATTTTAATTCATAAAATTAAAACATATTTTTACTTGCAAAAACAGTTAAAAATTAAATGCACTATTTCAAACAACATATACAAATGTATATCTAAGGTTATTAAATAAGATTCCATTAAAAAGGTGAGCCCTACTAATGAAGTCTTCGTAGTTGGTGTTCAGCATATAAACATGTGGTTCATATTTGGGGAGAGTCAGACAAAGATCATCTCTTTCTACTATATCAAGTTGATTACGATTTTTTTAACAGCTGTATTACACGACTAATGTAATGGGAAAACACTGACATGTAGTATTTTAGATTCCAGAAAATACGAGTATCTTCTAACCGCGAATTTCTGGAATTTCTATGGTCTTAGTTTACCTTATTATTATTATTAAATTATTTTATTAATAATATTTTATCATGTACTCCTTAGTCCCTATTATGGACCACCGAAATACTTTTTTTTTTCCTTGTGGAAAGCTTCTGTAGCTCCCTGTTAATAAGCGCCGTTTGTTCTAGACGGTGTTTCAAAGTGAACGGAGAAAAATAAAGAGCGCTCAGTGCTCAAAATTAAGCCAGAGAAATCAACCGTCTAAATTTTAAGAAGCATTCGTATTATAGTATTTATAAAATCTGTTTCGTTTGATCTAGCGTCGACAGCCGGGACGATGTTTCATGGAGCTTTAAGTAAAGCCTTAAGTTCCAATCATGTTGCAGCCAGCGGGCTTTTCTTTATTTCTTCCTATATTACAATTTTTTTTAATGTTATTTTATTTGAAAGAAAATTTATTCACGAAAAATTTTTTAAAAAAAATACGCAAAAATAGTATATATTTCAAGAATTTCGTGCAAAACGCCACTTGTCATTTATTTTGTCCTAACTCAAAGCTGATTTATCATAAAAGTATTCAAATATAACTCTGAAAAAGAGACCCTGAATAAATGATAGTTTACTAGAGTTTAAATCTTCATTCATAACATGTTTGTGAAACACAAAGGTACAATGAAGGAAATTGGGTTTTCTCTTAATTTTACGAACAATATACGGAAGAGATTTTCATGAACGGAAATTTCTCTTTTCCCATGAAATTTTAAAGAGAAAAGTTTCGAAAAGAAATTTAAATTGCAATAAGCCATCGTTTATTCGTTATTATGTATGTCAGTGTTTTAAGTCGTGAGCGTTTTTATGATAATTATCAATTATTAATCATAAATAAATTTGTAAAATAAATAAATAAATTGGAAGAAAATAAATGAAAAATTGCTTTCAGAACCAAATTTTTATAGTACATAACTTTTTACGTTGTTTCTTTAAAACTAGTTTTTTTGAATAGTTTCTCTCAAACAAACTGGACCTTGGTTTAAAAAAATCAAAAGCTTGTTTTGAGAGCAACATTATATGGACTTCGAACTTCTCAACTGTTAATCCATGCAATATCATCAAACTATCGATGTTTTAATCAAAAGAATTATCACTGAAGAATACATAATATGAACGCTAATTTTAAGCATCGATCAACTAGCATCAATTTTTTTCCCCTTCGGAGCTTTAAAAATTCAAACTTGTTTAAGATGTGACTTGGTAATATCTTAGTTTCCCAGAAACTCCAAAATTAAACCATAATTATTTAATTTTATAAGTAAATGCATTATCACATACTACAGTATTTACAATATATTCAAGTGTGTCAAAAGAATTTAATGGACCGTCTTACTTAGCGGGAA